CTTGGTAGTACAACTTTAGTACGCAGAGTAGCTGGGGAGTGGGAAGAGGAGAACTGGTGAGTGGGTAGTAGCGGAGAACTGGCGACTTTGTAGTACAACCTTAGTGTGCGGAGTAGGTGGGGAGCTGGAAGATGAGAACTGGCGACCGGGTAGTACAACGTTAGTACGCAGAGTAGCTGGGGACTGGGAAGATGAGAACTGGCGACTTTGTAGTACAACTTTAGTACGCAGAGTAGCTGGGGAATGGGAAGATGAGAACTGGCGACTTTGTAGTACAACTTTAGTACGCGGAGCAATCTGTGGAGCTGGAAGCTGGGAACTGGCGACTTTGTAGTACAACTTGAGCACGCGGAGTCTCTGGGGAGCTGGAAGATGAGAACTGGCAACTTTCTAGTGGGGAGCTGGAAGATGAGAACTGGCGAAGTTGTAGTACAACTTTAGTACGCGGAGTATATGGGGAGCTGGAAGATGAGAACTGGCGACTTTGTAGTACAACTGTAGTACGTGGAGCAATCTGTGGAGCTGGAAGCTGAGAACTGGCGACTTTGTAGTACAACTTTAGTACGCGGAGTATCTGGAGAGCTGGAAGATGAGAACTGGCGACTTTGTAGTACAACTTTAGTACGCGGAGTATCTGGGGAGCTGGAAGATGAGAACTGGCGACTTTGTAGTGCAACGGAGTATCTGGGGAGCTGGAAGATGAGAACTGGCGACTTTGTAGTGCAACTTTAGTACGCGGAGCAATCTGCGGAGCTGGAAGCTGAGAACTGGCGACTTTGCAGTACAACTTTAGTACGCGGATGAGTCATCTCTCGCAGCTGCTCTGGCGCCCCTGCAGCTGAGTCATGTCTCCCGACCACCCGGCTCTCTTGAGAGGTTGACACACACACAGAGACCCACGCACTGCCTCAACTTACTCGGAGACACACAGACAGAGACTCATACACACACAGACACAGATACACACACACAGAGACCCACACACTGCCTCAACTCGATCGACTTAACACTTCACACTGATCACTTAACAGATAACTCACACTCTGACTTCCTACGTGATGAAAAATGCTTTCGGGCCACTCGTCGTCTAGTTTGACTGCCACTCCTGACAAAGCTGCGTTACTCTGGGATGGCTGTTCCACCAAGTACTCCAAAGCAATCGTTGGGTTCCAGCAGGCTCTTGTCGATGAGGATTCTGCTTCAGCTGCGAGGCTAAGCCATGCTTGCCGTCCAGCTTTCACCATCTCCTTCATGTTCTTTGCAGCACGGGACTCACGCCAGTCTGATTAAGGCTTTGCCTAGGAAGGTCTCAAGGATCATCCTCGTGAGGGACCATGACCGAGAGAGGTCTTCCCAATTAAGGGCTGATCTAGCCACCAGTCTTCCCCTGCCCAGGTATGGATGGCCCTTGCAGCTGCCTCCTGGCTTGAATACCAACGAGAGAGATGGGATTTGGTGGCAGCGCCCCATCCTTCTTTGTATGTACGTACTCTTTTCCTGACTTTGTCACCCTGCGCGCAAAATGCGCATGCTTGACAATGTGAAGTTCAAGTTGGAGGGGCTGTGTCATGTCAACATTTTGAGGCAAGGGAGCCTCCAAATCACCTTCCTTCTTCTTGGGGGCGAAGGCCTCTCCTCTCTCCTCTCTCCTCTCTCCTCTCCTCTCTCCCCTCCTCTCCTTCTCTCCCCTCTCCTCTCCTCTGTCATGAACTACCAAGAGTACTAGTCACAACAAACAGCGATCAAACAACAACCAACAACTAATCAAACCATTGCCGGATGGAAACTATCTCCAACAACAATGGTCTCCTCCTCAACGTCTGAACACCTTCGACAATATCCAAAGTACTAAAACAATCTGAAGCAACCGTGGGGTTTCAAGAGCACTGGAAAACACACGCCCGTAATCGCCCGTATAACCTCCTTTTCTGCAGAAAAACAGGAGGGTATCTTTTCGTCTGAAGTCAACTCTGGTACAAAATGAACCCTTTGTTGTTTTTAATCATTGCCATTCTTCAACAACCGAACAAACACACACACACA